GGGTTGCCTATCGCCCCTGTCCACGGCGCCTTACGGGCCGGGCGAGTAGGCAACCCGCCCGCGCACTCGTGCGTGCGGTACAGTCTAACTGCAGAAGTGCGCGGGGTTAATCAGCCACCTGGTATTTTCGCCTAGCGATACAGGACGTGGTGTCATCATATCACCGGAACTTTTCGGAATGTGTGACCGGCTTCACACACGCTTTTGTGTGTGACATTGGCATGCCGTCTTGCAGATTTTTTTGTGTAAAATTTTGGCATGTGTTATTTTAATGTGTTGGCGTGCCACACACTTCGAAGTGTGGCAAGGCAGATCGGCAAACAGATCTGTTTGCCGATTTGCCTTACCCGAAGTTAAAAGGTCCCCAGTTTTTATCGAGAAAGTCGCCTGGAACATGGATTTCGAGCAGCCGACGTGCATGCATCTCTCCCCTGGACCGGGCCCCCTCTGGCAGACACCTGGGCCGGGCTGAAGGCCTGGCCTGGCCGTTTTGTTACCCTAAACTGTGACGGATGGAAGGACCGGGTGGTCAGGGACCTCGTCAGGGACCGTCGGGGCAGGAGGAGGAGGGCCTCGTGGACAAAACGGGCATCTCGTCACGGAGTCGGGCTCCCTCCCAGTCACACCTGGTGCTGGGGGACCCATTCATGTCGCCCCGGACCTGTGAGGGGCGGATCCAGGATCCAGGCGGGAGGGGGAGAAGCGACACCCGGCGGCGGCCCCGCCAAAAGTTCCAATAAGTAGCATACCGCGACTTCAATCTCAACACGCGTTCGTCTGCTGCTCGTCTGCGAGCGCAGAGTCGCGGTTTTCACTCTACCAGTTTCAAGGGACCAATGTTAGGGTGTGGTGAATTTAAACGAAACGTTTTGAACAAAACTTCCTCGACGCTATGTGCACGTGTGTGTGTGTTTGTGTGTGTGCGTGCGTGCGTGCGTGCTGCTCGCGCGATGGGTGATGTAACGGCGTGCAGGGCCCACCTCAGGTCAGGGCGGCCGCCCCGCCCCGCCCTGCGCGCCCTCTGCCCGGCCGGCGGGTGATTTACTACGCTTTGGGTTTATTGTGCAAATGCGGTGCGTGAGCGTCGGTATGGTATGCGCATGCGCGGCGCGAGGGAGGGGGGCTGCCAGCAATGACGAGACCTGACAGGGCTGTGCGCGCGCGCGCATGTGTGTGTGATTGTGTGTGTGTGTGTGTGTGTGTGTGTGATTGTGTTTGCAATAAGAAGAGAACCCAGTCTAGTCATGCATCTGCCGTAGCCGACGACCTCTGCCGAGCACGAGCGCGCCCGGACGCCCGGTTGCTGGTTAGGTTACCCTTACGTATGACGTGTTGTGGAAACGACAAAAGCCGCAGCAGCAGACGCGTCTGTTGCGCGCCGCCTCGCCGCCGCTGCAGCACTAAGAGCCACGAAAACAAGAAAAAGAATATTTATACACGCGCGCTCGCCCGCGCGCGCCTCACCAAACGTGTAACACACCCGACAGCAAAATGAGCTGAAACAATGCAGACGGAAATCGGCGCACGTTTGGTCGGAGAGCCTGCGCCGCCCTGCTGCGCCGTTCAGATCATCGATCGGAGGTTTGAGACCTGCCCGCCTGACTCACTAACCCCCTCGGGCCATCCGGCGATCCACGGTGCACGCCCGGGCCGTACTGTGCTCGACCAGCCGATATTCTTCTTTTTTCCGCCGTCGTTCTCTCTCTCTCTCTCTCTCTCTCTCTCTCTCTCTCTCTCTCTCTCTCTCTCTGCGTTCTTTCGTCCTGCTGCGTTGCGGTCATATTGAGAGCACCTGCTTAAAAACGATAAGCCGGTGCACGAGTGCAGCCCGTAAAGCAAAAGTCCGAAAGACACCGGCGAGATAACCGGACGAGAGAGAGAGAAAGAGAGAGAGAAAGAGAGAGAGAAAGAGAGAGAGAGGCGATGGAGAAGGGGAGGAGAGAGGGGAAGATTGGAGGGGGTGTCTAGGGGGCGTCTTTATCGCGAAGCTGTCATCGTTGAGAGCGGGCCTGGCAGCGCGGCGCACATCGCGGAGGTGTCTGCTCCTGGGGGACGCGGCTGCATCCCGGTGGGCGGTGCTGGTCGGTTCGACGGACAGGTCACTCCGGGTGACACGACATTTGCCTCCCATCCCGGTGCTTGCTTCTGCTGGGCCAGCCATAGCTGCAGGTTATAGTACCTCCCCCTGCCCCCTCCCCGTGCCCCCTCTCCCACCAGACGGACGGGCGTCTTCGACGTGTTCCTCGCTGCAGGCCCAGACAAGCTGCCCGGCCCTCCCGGCCCCTGCCGCATACCATCCCGGAGTCGAACGGACCCGAACGGACCCGAAGGCGAGCCGAGCGCGGGCCGAGCGGGGCTCTCCGGGCGGCCGGGGCTCCTCCAGTTCCAGTTCTCTCTCTCCTCCCGCTTCTCCTCCAGTCGGTGTCGAGACACGCTCGAGCACAGACGTGCTGCCGGAGCCCTCGCCGTCTTACCCTCGCTCCGCTTAGCGAGCTCGCTGTGCGCGACCAGCGGCGCCCAGCCACCCTGGATACAGTGCTCAGTGTGTGACAAGGTGCCTCAAGCCCTTGGTGACCGCCCCTGTGAACGTGTGTGTGCGTTAGTGCATTTGTGTGTGTGTGTCCGCCTGGAGGCCATGCTGCAGAGTGCGTCGTCGCCCCGGCGAGTGTAGAAACGAGTTTGAGCCGTTGTGCGCGCGTGTGTGTGCGCGCGCGCGCGTGTGTGTGTGTGCGCCGTGCCGCGACGGTCCGGCCGCGATGGGTTAACAGTGTAACATGTGCGAGCATGTGATGCCCTTCGTCGACAAGGACAAACGCCGTCCCTTCTACCCCCAACACCTGCTGTCCGCTGCGCGCTCCGTCATGGCGTGGCACGAGCGGCGGACCCTGTCTTCGACGCCGTCCTCGCGGAGCCTCTTCTGCTTCCTGACGGCGTCCTTCGCCTTCGCGCTGGGCCTCGTGGTGGGCGTCATGATCCCGCTGTGCCTGCTGCCCAGGCACGTCGCCGACGCCGCCATCCTGCCCGCGTCGCGGCCCTTCTCGGCCAGACTCAACGCCTCCATGAACCACCTGCGCGTCGACGAGGACGAGGGTCGGCGCCAGTGGCGGGTCACCCCCAACCGCAGCAGCGCCGACGCGCCCGCGACCACGCCGTCGCCGCCCCCGCGCTTCCCTAGCGTGTCCTTCGTGTCGCAGTTTGCGGCGTCGCCGCCCGTCCTCGCGTCGCTGTCCAACAGCAGCGTGGCCGCAATCCTGAGGGGCGAGTCGCCGGACGACACGACGTCCGCGCCGGTCGACACCGCCACACTGCGCGGCGGCATCTACTGGGGGCAGCCCGTCGAGGATGCGCTCCCCAAGGGCTTCACCGACGCCGAGGTGGAGGCGTGGCGGCGGTTCACCAGGACCACGTCCATCGTCAAGATGGAAGAGGGATGCGGCCGCATGCAGAACCGGCTGCTCACCTTCGCCGACGGCACTGCTTCGTGCTGCCGCTACCGCCAGAACACGGACCAGATCCAGGGGGAGCTCTTCAGCTTCCTGCTCGGTCACCTGCTGGGCCTGCGCAACCTGGCGCCGTCCACGCTGGCTGTCGTCCGCACCCGGGACCCCCGCTGGGGACAGGTCCGGGAGCACGTCTCGGTGGCCGAGTGGGCCGAGGACAAGCCCGTCGTGCTGACGAGGTTCGTGCCCTCACTGCAGCCCGCCCACATCCCCAAGGCGCTGCGCGGGCCCAACCGGCGCCTGCACCCGCCAGACGTGGACGTCGGCGGCGACTCTCTCACCGAGCTGGCCCAGTGGTCCGACCTGGTCGTGTTCGACTACCTCACAGCCAACCTGGACCGCGTCGTCAACAACCTGTACAACCAGCAGTGGAACAAGGGCATGATGGACGCGCCCGCCCACAACCTGGCTCGCGACCCCAACACGGGGCTGCTCGTGTTCCTGGACAACGAGAGCGGCCTACTACACGGATACCGCCTGCTCCGAAAGTACGAGAACTACCACCGCCTGCTGCTGGACCAGCTGTGCGTCTTCAGGCGGCCCACCGTGGACGCCCTCCGCCGTCTGCACCAGGACGGCGACGTCGGGGACCGCCTGCACGAGGCGTTCCTCACCGCGGAGCCGCAGGGCCGGGATGTGCTCCCGGGCCTGCCCACCCACAACGTCAAGGTGCTCAGGGAGCGCATCAAGAGGGTCCTGGACCAGGTGGAGCTGTGTGAGGCTCGGTACGGCGAGAGGACGCGGAGGTCGTCGTGATGATCACGATGCCTAACCTCGCCACGCCCCCTGACAGATAGAACGGGCGCTCGGACACGTGTGGTTCGCGTGTGATAGTGGATCCACCAGGTCGCTATTATCAAAATTCAGCAGAGTATCACCATGCATGTTGATCGTCATACCGAGGGGACCAGTCGAAGACGATGGGGAAAACTGGGGGGGCAGACAGACGGACGAGCTGGCAGGCGGACAGGCTGACTTGGGCCGGCAGGGCTGGGTGGTGGGGCAGCCTGGGCCAACACATTCCTTAGGCCAGGGCCCGTCCCTGTGCCAATCTAAAAGAAAAGTTATGTACTTTTGTTTCATTTTACGGCCATATCAAAGTGCCGGTTTTTCTCTTAAATGTCATTTTTATTTTAGTCTTATTCTGTTTGGAACGAGAGGCCGCATGTTTGATGTACGTTTGAATGGTGTTTGAGCCGTGCTGACCAGTAGCCCTTCCTTTAGTCTGACAAAACTACAGTCTGTTCGACCTGCTTTCACGTCCAGACCTTTAATTCTGACTGATCTTTCTGAAAGAGAGAATTGTCTTATACATTTTAAAATTTTTGTCTTCTTGTCCTGTTTTGAAATGATGTCATTTCTCCAATGTCCCTTGCCGCGATAAAATTATGACGAGTTGATTTCTAAAGGCACTGTAGGCTCCCGCAGGCGTTCAAGCCTGGAAATTCGGTAGTCATTTATTTTGGAGACGGCGAACATAACTTGTTGCCGTGGCGGCGGCTCCGAAATAAAACGAATGCACCGAGGAAGCTTGATCGTGTCTTCTTTGCATCAATTTTCTCGCTGTTGCGTGTTCTCAAAGCGCACGCACGGGTACCATGCTGGTGTGGGCAATGTAGCATTTCATGTATGGTCAGGACAGTCGTAACTTTAGCCTGCTTTTTTTCCACGTTTTATTCCCTTGTTCCTTGATAATGCATTGTTTTCCTTAGTTCCACCGTCATTCGCTTTGCCACATTCTGCTTGGTAATATGATCTGTTGTCGTGGAAATGAAGAGCGCTCTTTTACTGTCATGGGCTATAAAGCTGTGATTCGAACTCAACTGCTACTCTGGGACCTGTTCCAATTCTTGGGTTACTCACATCTTGCGTGTTATTCTCTGTCCGGCAAAGGCGCATGTCATTGTGGAATTCATTAAGGATTTCTCTTTTGGTAGCATGTGTCATTTTTTTAACGACTGGACCTGCCAGTCAGAGGGCTCCGTTTCGAAATGCACACCAAAATAAGTTTTATGGGGTTTGAAGCCCTATGTGTTTTCACTGTAAAACGTGACATGCGTCTGTTTTAATTGTGGTTGGAATCAGGAACCTGTCAACGTGAGTGTTTTTGAGTTGATACCCCTTGTTAGCCTTACGTGATTTTTATCAGTGAATCACTCTTTAGTCATTGTGATTTTTTGTGATGTTCCAATTATATGTACATATCTGTATTTATTTGTGAATTGTTGTAAATGAAATGTAAAACTGTGTATAGTCCCTATTTATTCCTCAATTCTGCTTTGAAACAGGGTCTCGTTAAAAGTTCATTTACATTGGAATTTTATGTAACCTAAACTGTTAGTGCGTGCGCTACATTTGCTTTATGAAAATGTAAATTTGTCATGCTGTGTTAAAGCATGATAATCTCGAGATATCTGTATCTACCAGACTTATTTATTTCGTATGTGATATTAAATTAGACTTGACATTTCCTGTAATTATGTTCATTTGTTATGTATAAAAAATTAGATAATATAAGTAATAGTATTTATTTATGTGACGAAGACAGTTCAATTTTGTAAACCACGTGGGAAACGCCTCTAGGTGCCATGGAAGCAGATTTTGAAGTACTTGCCACGTCAGTGCAGGGTTACTTTATTCTCGTGGAACTCGATTTGTGAGAGATCTTTAGACCTCAGAAACCAATGACACCATAAACGGGGAGCTGTCCCTGGAATTCTTAAGGACCTCTTAGGATCGGTTTCGGATTCTAAGAGCCGACCAGACGACGTAATAAAATAGAGAAGAAAAGAAAGCGTAGTATACCGCGTGGGCCGCTCAGCCGGCCCATTTTAAAATTTGTGTTTGCTCATTGGTTTTAAATTTACAGTCATTTTTATCAAGTAATATTAGTGAAATACAAGTATATATCTGATGGTTTAAAATTCGTGTCACAAATCTACTGCGATGCTAGTCGGGATTGTTATAAATTATGTTTTGCTCCGTCTTATTGACTCTATGTGCACGGTCTGCAACAAATTGTAGCAGGCTGTTCACTTGTTGCCTGTTTCTCTCTTACCACGATTTTGTCCCCAAAAGTCTTAATAGAGCGAGAGATATGTGGGTTTATGTTATTAGTGATGACAGCTCATCTTTTCGCATTACGTTTTTTTCTGTGGCCATCACTGTGTTGTCTAGAATGTTATACTTGTAAATGTTTCCTTTTTGTGTTATTTGAATTGTACAAATGAGTATTAGTATTTTGGAAAGACGCCTAACATAATGCCACTAGATGAGCTGCTGTTTGTATGAAATGTTTATGTCGTTTGAAATGTCTTCAGTCAAAATCCAAAGAGAATGGAAAAAATAAAAAATTAATTTTCAAATCAGGCCTGGACAATGTAGTGATTCTCCTTCGACCTATTCTGCTTTCGAATTCTACAAAAATGGAACGAAATAATTAATTATGCACGCTGCCTGGATTTGTATCTTTTGCTAAAACAAATTTAAACAATCAATTTTTGCACACATGTTTTGCGTTTATTTGAACACTTTTGTGCATACATTTTCACAAAATCATGCATTTTGCGCACAAATTTTTCTGAAACGAAGCGTGGATTTCACTTAATGTGAACGTTTGCACTAAACATAAATACATTCATCGTGTGGTCACACATTCCTTTTTGGGCTCTAGAATTTCACTGTTGCGCGCAAGGAGCGCTTTAAATCTGCACGCAATTTGTCGGGGAGCGCAGACATGAGCACGGAACAGCCCCTCAGACACCTCTTAACTTGATCACCCTTCCGACACGCAGCTCTCGCGCTCTGCATGCGAGTTCACACGCTCCTACAACATGCAGATCGGGGGAGGGGCGCCGCGTAACGGGTCAAGGGTTTGGCTGAGGAGATAGCCGAGATGTACGAGGGCGCGCACCCCTGCAGATTAAGCGACAACAAGGACCGAGCCGAAGCACATCACGGTTTTTGTGCACTTGTACGTGTTTAACAGGGATAAAATCACGATCTTGCTTTTTAAACACTGTGCACGAGAACTGTGTCACACACTTGAAAATGCACGATTGCTATAGCGCCACACACTTGAAAGAGAACAGCTATCTGCATTGAAACATGGAAAAGCACTGCGATACATACTTGCGAGTGTGTGCAACTGGCGCTCTTGTGCGGCGCGTGCGTGCGAGTCTCCGCCCAGCGGCCGCCGCCCGGGACCGGCACCACCGGGGCCTCCGTAGGCAAACAAATGAAACAATCGCACACAGTGGCTGGGCAGGGCCAGAGGAAGGGCGAGCACGGGCGGGTCCCAGTGGGCCGCAGCCAACCACAGGTCGGCGCGCGTGTGTGTGTGTGCGCCGGTATGGCCGTTTACCGCAACCGGTAGTTTGCAGCCACCAAACACCACAATCATCACCACTTACCAATTTCCCTGCGCCTGCTGCTCCCGCCCGACACTCGGCTGCCGCCCAATCAAGACTCCCCCCCTC